CTCTGTCTTTCGAAGTTCGGGAGCTACTCATTTCATCTTCCACCGCTATCTTCGACATGCTTACTGAATCCAAAGCATCTCCCACGGACTTGTTTGGTTCTACACCCTCTGAAAACTCTGCAACAGCATCTGAAAACATTTCATCTTCGGATGCCTTTGATTTTGTTTTTGTTCCATCGACACCCTTGTCACTGTAACATCCTCCCAAGACGTTGGAACCTATGCAGCATTTACTGACATGATTAAAAACACCTTAAGGCACAGAAGTTTTCATTATCATAGGTCCCTCCTTTCCAACAGAAAAAGAAAGAAGAGGTAACAGCAAGACACAAAAGACAGAGAAAGAGAGATATATGTAATTTTAAAGAGAACCCACAGAATAACTTTTTAGCTTTAAATCCTAATTTGGTCCATGAACTTATCCTACTTTAATCCCTTAACTTTCAACTACTCTGTTTCATTCCCTCAACTTGTAATTATTCTTTTCTTAACCCTAAACATTCCAAGTTATGTCAGTCTGTGATATCCCATGTCAGTTGGAGAGAGAAGAACGAAGCACATTTCTTATAAGAGTGTGGATACCTCTCCCTAGTAGACACATTTCAAAATCTTGAGGGGATGCCCGAAAAGAGAAAATCCAAAGAGGACAATATCTCCTAGTGGCGGACTTGGGCTGTTACAAATGGTATAGAGACAAGCACTGGGCAATGTACCAACAAGGACGCTGGCCCCCAAGTGGGATGGATTGTGATATCTCACATCGGTTAGAGAGGGGAATGAAACATTCCTTATAAGGGTGTGAAAACCTCTTCCTACACGTTTTAAAACTTTGAGATGAACTACTAGTGGTGGGCTTAGACTATTACATAGTCTCTCGTTAAGGCTCCGCTAATCATTTAACAAGAACATAGATTCATTTGAAAATCAAACACCAAACCTAAAAGTACTAATTATCCAAAGTTGACACATAATGATAAAGTAAAGTAAACAAACAAACGCTATGATGATGCCAGGTCCCTATCAAATAATTCAGTTAATACTAAGGACTAGAATTGCTTTCTCTCAAAAGTTCAAGACCACCAAAGAAGAAAGTTCAGAGAAGAACATTTAAACCCAAATTTAGAACACAATGTAAGGAAAAGACTTCTCACTAGAGGTTTTGTGATCGCCATCATCATCTGAAATAGTCACAAGGGTGTTAGCCTCAGACTCAACCAACTTGAACCCTTCAATCGTTCCACAAACCCTCTTGTGAGCACGCCTACGTTTGGCGCTCGGATGAGGGTTAGGAAAGTGCCATCCACATTTGTTGCAAACATGAACTCCATGGCTCTTCTGCCCTACAAAACTCACCAAAACCCTTCATCAAAAACAAACCCATCAACTAATTTCCAAAACCCACAAAAACCCAAGTGCCCAAATCCACAATAAACCCCAAAAGAACACACACAAAGAACAAGAACCAACACAAAGAATCAGAACAAAACCCAACATTCTAGAGGGTTTTCTTACTCTGATCTCGATGCTCCATTTCTGAAAGAGGGAAAGAAAAGCCAAGAAGAAGCAAAATGGAAGTGTTAAAAGAAGGAGTTAGTTAAGTAAAGAAAAGGAGGAGATGGGAATCATTCTTTTGTAAAAGGGGAAAATGGGGAATACCGTACTGACCCTAGGCTGTTGGAGGAGGGGAATTCTGTGCGGCCGAGCCTACAGAAGGACGCGTGGAATCGTCTTCTCCAAGGGGACAAATTTGTCTGAACAGTATAGTAGTAGCTACTACCTAAAATTCTAAATTTATTAAAAAAAACAAAAAAATATAATTTTTTTAATAATAATTTTAATTATAATTCTAATAAAAACTCTGACAAATCTCACCAAACAAGACACCTGCTGACAGGGATGTCTTAGGATTGTGAAAGCCACTTTAAAGTTTGGAACTTTTTTGTGTTTTGTACAAAAAGTCCAATCAATGGAATTTTTAAAGAAAAAAAGTCTTTTTTTTTTCTTCCCTTTTTTAAAAGCAAAGCAATGTTCTTTTAAAGCATAGAGATGCCTAATCTTATAGTTTATTTATTTATTTTAGTATTAATAAAAGAAATCTTGTTGAGATCTCTAATGGATTCAAATGGGTGTTATCAAGACTTTTTTTTTTTTTTTTTTTTTTTTTTTTTT